CAACCTCCTCCAAAGCGCACTAGCCGGGGTAAATAAAACACACACCCAAAATTGATGAGGGAAACAAACAAGAACCTTCCATTCCAAACACCAGCTTGCTTGAAGAAATTAGAAATGTTTATGAGGTCAAAAGCTCAGACAAGTCAAATGCATGCTACGAAGACTTGCAAACACCAACTTGCTTATGAGTTTATGAGTTTGACCCTTGACCTGGGACGAAGCATCCAGTGCAGTTCACATAATAAAAGACTGGTCCATAGATTGGTTTTGGTTCCAAAACTAAACTTGGTGCGACCCACATCCCCCACAATGTGGGAGGACTTTTCGTCTTATTCAATCATATTGGACATTAGGTTGCATTTTCAAACTCTTGGCAAACAAGATTTCCAAAAGAAAAGTAGTGACATTCATTTGCAAACTCAACTCAACCGAAGCATGCAATGCAATGACAATTGATTCGCAAGTAAAAATCATTTTTTTACTAAATTAGATCCCGTTTGTGAGATAGAATTACTATTAATTCTCTGAATCTCAGTCTCAGTGTCAGCCGAAGAAGGACCACGTCCAAAGTAGAGGCCCCAGTGTGTCATACAAACTGGGTGGATTGGAGGCCCAATCAATTCAATTACTTGTGTTGTGTATGAAAAACAAAAGAGGAGGCAGCCAGCCAGCCATACAAGAAAAAGAAATGAAAGCAAATAGATAGACTTTTACTTTGTTTGTGCATGGCTGTTGCTTTCAGAATCATATCTACTTGTCGTAATAGCTTGTGGATAATTATAAGGAACTCATCGACAGAATCAAGCTGTTGTTTGATCAAAATTTCCCATTAGATTTTTGTTTACATTATTATCTTTAATTTGTTAATTAATAGCATGGAAATATCTAATTTGGCCATATTAATAATATCAGGGTTAGAAAAATAATATAATTATACGCGTTGGCAGCCGATTCTAGACTAGTTGAATATAATACTTGTCAATGAGAGAGAGGAAAGGAAAACTACATTAAAGAAGGTGATAGACTTGGAAAGCTTGACCCAAAACTTGGACTTTCTCTTCTCAGCGGTCATCTTGCTCGTCTTTTCTTTCTAAATTATGAGGTTTTACATTTATGAGATAATTAACGAAAATTAAGAAAGTTCAATGTGGGGGGAGGCTAATTAATAGCCCAATATTCCATGATTTATTCTTCTGTTTGAATTTTCTATGCTATGATATATTGACTTATTTTGTCCATATGCCATCTCAATTATATTTCATCCAAGGACTTAAAAAATAACGGCTCCTCCTACGTAAAATAAATGAAAAGTAATACAATTAAGCTTCCTTTTCTTTTCAACATGGGTTGCATCCTCATCCGAACCACCTATAACAAAATATAATATACTGCTTCATCATGATTTGGTAAAAATAGGTGATCCGATCCAATGCTTACTTAAATACCAACCAAAAAAGAAGAAGATAAAAATTGATTGCAGTTAGCTACTAGTCGAACCTAACAAAAATGAAGTACCAAATCTTGTAGATTGAAGCCTGCTACCAGCAATTTGAGGGGATCTCAAATCAAAGTCGGGCAGAAGCAAAACTAACTGTGAGAATCAATGAAGAGAAAAAAGGAAATATGAATGGTTACTTAGTACCAACCTAGCTATATATTATAAAACATGATGCAAAAGCTTTGTCTCTCTTTCTAGTTCGTCCACAACAGTGTACATGATTAATTTCTTTACATAGAGAGAGGTTGGAGAAGTTGGATGATTTGCCACCCAACTAATTCCTAATTATATGATTAAGATACTAATATGAAGTTTCTAACCTAAATCCTCACGGGAACTCAACAAAAAAGTAATTAATTTACTAATTTGGTGTCAGCCAGGGGGTTGCTAAGTATACCTACTAATTAAGTGATTGAATTAATGGCCCCATCCCTTGATGATCAGTAGGGTTTTCCACTGTTTCACTTGTATCCACAACCTGCTTAATAAATCACTTTGTTCAAATGTGATTTGTTTGGATGTGCACAGTGCATAGTGCATGCATATTGTAAACCTCCTGCCATCTTTTATTTTTACGTATACTCATCACACGATAATAATATTTAGACGTCACTGTAAATTAAGAAAAAAGCATGGAGAGGCAATAGAAAATACAAGGCGTTTGCATGATAATTAAAGCACAACGCCAACTAGTAAACTACCATAATTAAAGCAATTACATCTTTGTAAACTGATCTTGATATTTTGGCAGCTAGCAATTACCATCCGCCTATTGGAAGATAATATATTTAAATAAAAGAAAAAGAAAAAGAAGAAAGTGAAAAAGACGAAAGAAAACGAAGACCAAATGAATAGTAGTTTTCATTGGTAGTGTCTTTTCCTTTGGGGCCAAGAAAGCAAATTAATGTGATTTAGATGAAAAAGAAAAAAGTTTATAAAGAACATGTACTGTATACTATCAATATAATTTTAGCAAGTATTTTCTGATGTCGACTAGCAAATTAAAAAAAAAAATAATAATAAAAAATAAATAGATGGTAATTATATAGCAATTAGTAACTAATTACATAATGATATAGAAAAGCCTACCTCTTCTTCTGCATGCACTGTGTATTATGTTCCAGAAGTCTTGCGTGCCTAAAACGTTGTCCTATTTGCATTATTTGATTCCCATTTTTGTCATATATTTTGGGTCGAGACGGTTCTATTCTATTATGTCGACATATTGACACGACTTTGTCAAACAGCGCATTTGTGCGCTCACACCTTTATTAGATTAGAAGCGTTATATACGTGTACTTTTCTTTTATATATTTATTTTTTATGTTTGCAAATATAAAATGGAATTGAGAATCTTCTAAACTGAATTATTAAGAATCAATAATGAGCAATAAGTCTAGCTCAGTAGAAAATAGTCTTAATTTAATTTGTAGATTAGAAATTTTAAGTTGGAATCTTCACGATATCATAATTGTATGTAAGTGTGTGTGAAATCCTTTTCTTATTTAGTTTATCGCTTATACTCCAAACAAAAAAATCAATAATGATGTTTTGAATTTGAATTAATTACAATTAATTTTTAATTGAAAAAACACTAATGTGAAACAAGAATTGCTATTATCAACGCGTGTCTGAGTGGTTTGGGTGTAAGAATATTAGCAAACACCGCACCCGTTTTGACGATTTGTGAGGACAAGGAGAATTGTAGGCAAGTGGAACAATTCCGAGAGAAGCACGTGTCCCCCACCTCAATGCAAGTGTGCCACATACACCCTCCCTTCCTTCTGCAATTGCAATTGCAGGGTCCCCGGATTGATTCCATATCTCGGAAAAATCAAAGACATCACATGAATGGTCATCTAGAATAAAAGTCTGGTAGATCTGAAACACATTAAAAAAGGAATATGGACTCAATTCCTTTTCTAAATTACGTGTATACTCAATCTCATTCATTGGACAAAAAATTACGATCCTTACGCAAAGGATTCATTAGTGTAGTAATTTGAAGTAATTATTTTATTAGACAATGAATTATAAATATTATGCAAAGGACTCACTGATGCAGTAGTTTGGAACAATTGCTCTCCCAGTAAAAATTTTGAATTCGAGTCATAGCATCCGTATAGTGTGTGTATGTGTGTTTAATATATTAGGATCCTCTTAATAAAAAAAGTTACTAAAAAAGAAGATATTACAACCATTACATACATCATACATGTCACTAGCCTCTCTGCATGCGCTTTCGCGCCTGCGAGAGGCTTTTTAAAAAAAAAAAAAAATTATTTTAGAATTAAAAAAGATAATGGGTTGTTGTATTCCATAAAAATAGGATCCATATTATCCTTATTTAATTAATAATTTCAATTCTTAATGTTTGCATTAACTAATGGTATTTTCTGGTATTTTGAATGTTTTACCATTTTCTGTCTTTTGCTTTATATATATATAGATTAATAATTTTGTTTTTGGAAAATGATACTGCCATGTTCTATGTAATTTCGTGATACAATTGAATAGACTTGACATTATACAGTTTAGAAGATGTTTTGTAAATTTTCCAAATGAATGGAATTTACAGTCCCTTACCTAATATATCCCTCCAGTGAAAACAGCTAATCTCCGATCTCCTCCTCCGTATATTCGTATTAGACAAAACTAATTAATTGTCGCATAATTTATATTTAAAATTAAAACGAAATTAACAAAACAAGGGGCTGAGGAGAGGAGAGAGAGTAAAGTTGGTAGCGTTTTACAGCGTACGTACGTGGAATTTAAGAAGCGGTTGTGTGTGTGCGCGTGTCAAAACGGAAGTACGTGGGAGAAGGGTCGCTTGACTACTCTGAAACGCTGTCAGATAAAACGGTCCGCTTTTTTATTTTTATTTAATTGCTCTTCTGCGTGACTTCGTCTCTGCGGGCTGCACTGCCCATAGCTTGGCGTCGAAACCGTTGGTGCCCAAACTGCAAAATCTTAACCTCGCCCCTAGTTTACTATACTCTCTAACCAATCCCCCAGCTGTTGCTCTGGTTAGGTTAAAAGTTGCTTAGATGCCCATAACTTTTCCATAATTAGTTTTTCTGTAATTACATTCTTATTCCTTACGGAATCGTTGATTATGTGGCCCATTACAATTAGGCAGGTACTTTGTATTTTTGTTGACAACCTTTTAAGCCACAAATGTCTTCAATTAATTTAATCAAGTCCAAATTCATTGTGCCCAGAAACAATCGCATGCATGATTTATTGTTTTGCAATCAATGATTATATACACATAATTTTCATCTCTCATATGATTAATTATTCTCCCAAAAAAAAATATGTACAAATACTGTCGATTACTCTCTTTCCAATTATAATTAGGGAAGGCATTGGAGTAGAAATCCTAGCTTTTATGGTAAAAACACAATTTAATTGCAATAAATAATACGCGTGGCAGTCGTAGTACCCACAACATAAATAAGCAAAAACCTAGGGGTACGAAAGAAAACCGAATAAATAAATATCGCGGGACCTGAGCCATTTTCTCCTTCCCTCGTTCACTATAAATACATAGCTCGAGTGAAGCTAGGTTTGCCGAATTGGGCAGCGAAACGCAGCTTACACAAGAAGAAAAGAAAAAAAACCCATCCCTCTCTCTCTCTCTCTCTCTCTCTTTCAGTCTCCAATCTTCTCTTTCTAAAATCTCAACCTGATCAACAAACATGGCAGCAGCAAGTTCTAGAAGATCATCATGCGGGCCGGTCATCCGCTCCGCTTCACCCGCTGGAAGATTCCACAACACTCAGTATTCGTCCTCCTCAGCCTTCGCCTCCTCCACTTCCAGCTTCTCTTCCCGCTCTTCCACTTTCTTCCAGCGCGCCGCCTCTCCCACGCGCCTCAACCTCGCCAGCTCCTCACCCTCCGCCCAGTCCGTACGCTTTTCCCTCGACCGCCCCATCTCCCCGAGCCGCTCCATCTCCGTCACTCCACATGGCAACGGCAACCACCACAACGCCGTGAAGAGCCGTCAGATCAGCAACCAGAAGCGCACCTGTATGTGTTCCCCTACGAATCACCCCGGTTCGTTCCGTTGCAGCCTCCACAAGAACTTCGGCTCCCACGTGACTGCTTCGGCGCCCTACTCGCAGAACCGCCTCAACGCGCGGAGATCGGCGATGACGAACTCGCTCGTGAGAATCGGCGGCGTCGAAGGCGATCTGGTGCGGCGCGCTTTGGCCGCTCTGATTCGCCCCTCTTCCCACAGCCAAAGGAGAAGAGCCGATTTCCGGCCCAGGCCCAGCCGGCTCTCCACCATGTCCATGTCACACGAGTAATTGGAAAAAATAATTTTGAAATTAAAATCGAAACTTGAGTCCTTTAGATCCTGAGCTTTTCTTGCACATCCTTTGAGATCTTCCGGCGAGGTGAGGCCGCGCTCGGGGGCGATGAAGTGTCAGGATCCGGCGAAAGTGTGAGTGATCTGACCGATTGGTGACCGAAGTGCTACAGCTAGGGGAATATGATGATATGAATCGATACGATACCTAGCTATGATTCTGTATATATAAATACGCATATATTTGTATGAGTGGCGCGCCATTGTTGGCTGCTCCAAGCTTTCTGGGACCTTATTAAACTTCCATATAAGCATAAATTTAGCAGGCAAAATTAAAATTCGAAGCAAGCAGATTTCAATACTTGGCTTGGGTTTGGCAATTGGCACTACTAGTTAGTTGAGGGCATTTCTTCAACTCCTCTGGTTTGGTTTTCCGTTAGCCATTCAATGAGCAGCGTGTGCGTTCTCCGTTAGTTGTGACGTGTTCCGTTATCCGTTTTGCCGTGACGGTAGGAGTATATGTATCGTCTGCTATATTGTGGGTTGACCGTACGTTCCTTCCGTTTACCCCGTACCAGGTCCTGGATTCATAGGGCTATCGGAGGTGAGTTGGTTTGTTATGAATTAATTGTTTATTTTTTCATTATTTTATTAATTGTTCTTGTTTTTATCTTTTTCTTTCAGGTATGTAAATCTCCGTGGAATTCTTACCGATTGGATTGGAATTGAATTTATCTGAGAAGGTGGGGCTAGAAAATGCCTAATTAGATGCCCTTTGGAGGGAAGGATTATTGAACTAAAACGAATCTAATGAATGAAAATAATTAATTGGAATGGTCTTTCTAATATATATATGAACAGTATAATTAACTTAAATTAGAAATGAAAAAAAGAAGGAATGAAGTTGGGGTGAATTTAATCAAATCGTTCATGAACATGATGATGAGCAGCTGGTGGCGGGCCCCTGAGGGTAGCATGTGATGTGAAGCAACAGAGGAACAGAACATTAAAATTTGCTAATGATCAGTCAGTCCATAATTATGGACGATGGCGATGAACCAGTCCCGTTTCTTTTCCACATTTTTTAGAATTGTTTGGAATCAAATCGGTTCAACTATTTTTTTTCTTTTTCTTTTGTTGTTTGGGAATATTAAAAAGTAACTGATGACGGAATTAATAATGATAGGGAAGTCGATGTGCGAGACGACTGGAGGAGCTGAACAAGTTGGGTTGGAATTGGATTAATTAAAGCAACATTTGCCAAAAATGAGGGGCCCATAGCCTAAAGGAGTAGAGCTGCTTGAAATTCAACTGTATGTGTATTATCGCATTCATCCATCTTCATCCAATCCAATAACAATATAAAAAAAAGGATTTTATGGAGAAAAACTTTTATGCAATGAAGATGACATATTTTTTTCTATATTTTATGTGTTATTATATTACTGATTGAAAATAGCAAAATAAAGTTATTCCGTTTGTATTTTCTGGTGTGAAAGATAAGGTTGTGAAAAAGAAGCCAAGCATAGGTAGTCATGGGCGTGAGTGCGCAGGGAAGGAAAAGGTAGGAGAGCTGGTGTCTTTAAGTGCTGAGACAAACGTTCAAACTTGGTTTATCCGTTTTGGGGAAATACATGTGTGTAGTGTATGTGCAATGTGCTTGTGCACGCAACTTGCAAGCAAATTGGAAGAGGAAGAGGAAGTGGGTGGGTCCAGGGAGTATTGTTCGAGTTGGGGTAATGACAAAGCCCGTCACGCCAGCGCCATGATGGTGCATGTACCATCCACGTGGGGGTGTTGGATGGTGATCCTATTCCTTTGTGTTTGTTACATTTTTTTGTTTGGTCTGCAAAATTCAAAGTGGTAGGCATAAGGCCACATCGAGAGAGAGAGAGAGAAGATGTTACTCTCGCTCGCCCGCGCTCAAGAAGGGGATCCTGTTGGTAAAATATATTCACAACAGAAACAGGCAGCTGTATTACTTCTCTTCTTGTATCTGATTTATACTAGTGGGGTGGGGCCTCTGCGTCTGCGTCTGCGTCTGCGCAAATATCTTTGTTTATCGTAACGTTATTTTCTTGACCCCAAATAAAGAAGAAGATATATAACTGGATAAGCTTGATGACATGTTCACTATTCTCTTCACTACTAGGGCTTGTTTGGTACATCTTCTAGACTTGGACTGATTTCTACTCACTTTTTATCCTATGTTGTTTGTTTTACTTGGTACTACTTTTTAAGTGGGGATTACTAGTAGAAAACACCTCTTTAGGTGGTGTTAGTGAAGTCTGTGTAGAAAAGGAGGGACAAATAGTCCATTGTTCTGGCTGTGTAGAGTCTAATTTGTATCATCTACTAAAAGGTTGATTGGTTAGAGTAGAGTCTAATCTGTGAGATGTTAGTGATCTTGTAGGCAAAGGTAGGAGGGGTGCAGACATTGTTAAATTCGACTTGGTTTGTTAACGACTGCATGTATAAATTCGACTCTAACTCTAGTGACTGATAATGTAATTACTGGGCGCAAAGAAAGAAAGAAAGAAAGAAAGAAAGAAAGAAAGAAAGAAAGAAAGAAAGAAAGAAAGAAAGAAAGAAAGAAAGAAAGAAAGAAAGAAAGAAAGAAAGAAAGAAAGAAAGAAAGAAAGAAAGAAAGAAAGAAAGAAAGAAAGAAAGAAAGAAAGAAAGAAAGAAAGAAAGAAAGAAAGAAAGAAAGAAAGAAAGAAAGAAAGAAAGAAAGAAAGAAAGAAAGAAAGAAAGAAAGAAAGAAAGAAAGAAAGAAAGAAAGAAAGAAAGAAAGAAAGAAAGAAAGAAAGAAAGAAAGAAAGAAAGAAAGAAAGAAAGAAAGAAAGAAAGAAAGAAAGAAAGAAAGAAAGAAAGAAAGAAAGAAAGAAAGAAAGAAAGAAAGAAAGAAAGAAAGAAAGAAAGAAAGAAAGAAAGAAAGAAAGAAAGAAAGAAAGAAAGAAAGAAAGAAAGAAAGAAAGAAAGAAAGAAAGAAAGAAAGAAAGAAAGAAAGAAAGAAAGAAAGAAAGAAAGAAAGAAAGAAAGAAAGAAGAGTTGGATGGATCGTAAATTCCATGGACAATCAAAATGTAGCTGGATCGCATTATAAGACTGTGTGTGTGGGGGAGGGATTCATTCATTTAATAGCAGCTGGGCCTTTTCTTAACGGGCTCACATAGAGTGAGATGAAAGCCTTCTCTTCTCAGTCACCTTTTTCTTTGGATAAAATAAAGGGGATCCTCTGTCTCTCTGTCTGCCATATCAATGAATCATATAAATTCAAAGAATATGCTTTCTCTCTCTCTCTCTCCCTGCATTCTTTCTTCTTTAATTAATTTGGAAGGAAAGAAGTTGGAACTTGGAAGGAAGCCAGAAGATCCATGGGCCACCCCACATCTCTACTTGAAACTTTTGTACTAGTTTCTTTTTTAATAACTGAAACTTTTGTAACAATCACACTCTCCCAATATAACAACTCCAATGCCCCATGCATCCTCCTTTTTTTAAAAATACTTTATATATATCATCATCATCATCATCCTATGACGTTATGGTATTGGTTGTTCTTCTGAATCATATGCCATGTAGTCTTGGTGACATTTGCACAACAATTGGATTCTTTAATCTTAGGGAAACCCTATCACTTACTTGTTGACTGAAAAGACTAACTTGCCCTTCCTCATAACCACCCCCAACTAAATTTACTTATTTATGTTGGAAAATATATTGTATTGAACAAATAACATAAAATGTGTACAATGTTAATGAATAACTATAATAACGCGATGATCAAGAACAATAGCATAATTATACTTAAAATATTCGTATCCTGAATACAATCATAGGGTAAAAAAAAAAAAGAGTAAAACTTAGAGCATCCACAGTCTTCCTCATAACCACCCCCAACTAAATTTACTTATTTATGTTGGAAAATATATTGTATTGAACAAATAACATAAAATGTGTACAATGTTAATGAATAACTATAATAACGTGATAGCATAATTCTAGTTAAAATATTCGTATCCTGAATACAATCATAGGGTAAAAAAAAAAGAGTAAAACTTAGAGCATCCACAGTGGGGGGGTGTAAAGCCACTTTTACATCCCTTTTACACCTTCGAGGGGTGTAAATATGTTTTTTGCTCCAGTGGGGGGTGTAAATTCAGGGGTGTAACCGTGGGTCCCAGCCTTTTATGTTGACTTTTTTTCATTTTTCTTCTCTTTTCTCTGGTGGGTCCCGCCTGCAAGGGATGTAAAAATGAATGTAAATATACATTTTATTTTACATCCCCATGGTGGTGATGTATATTTACATCCATTTACATCTCACCATTGGAGACGATTCCGGTGACTCGGGGTGTATATTTAACATACACCCCCATATACACCCATCACTGTGGATGCCTCTTTTCTCTGGTGGGTCCCGCCTGCAAGGGATGTAAAAATGAATGTAAATATACATTTTATTTTACATCCCCATGGTGGTGATGTATATTTACATCCATTTACATCTCACCATTGGAGACGATTCCGGTGACTCGGGGTGTATATTTAACATACACCCCATATACACCCATCACTGTGGATGTTCTTACTAAATTTATTTATTTATTTAAAACTCCGAAACTTGTCTTCAATATATTATTCTTTATTTCAACTCTGAGAAAAGTGATTATTTGACGGAAAAAAAAACTGGTTTAGAACATGCGATTTGAGAGGGGGTTTGAAACTAAAATAAAAATGGTCGGCTCCTAACACACGTGGCCTGCTAGGAGCAAAGCACAGCCACGCTTTTCCCCAGCACCGGCTCAGTTTGCTTACTTTTGGACAACAGGAAAGGAAATGACTCACCGAGTAGGGCCCACAAATCAGGTGACACGGCCTCCTTGTCACGTGGCAAGACCCGTTCGTCTCCTCTGCGTCACAGAGAGCAGAGAGGAGGATGAGAGGCAAACACAGGGCGATGCTTTGCTGCTTGCAATTAAAATCGTGATGCTTGATTGATCCTCCTCGGCCACAGTTTCCAATTTGGCTTCATTCTTTTTTCGTTATAATTATCTAATAACTATACACAAATAAATATTAAAAAATAAAATAAAATTTCACATGGAAGGAACAGGAAGAGAGAGAGAGAGAGAGTCAATAGACCAAAACTGAAGGAAAGTCCTAAATGCCAAATGCCAGACGCCAAGTCATTGGTTCATCTTTCTTTCTACAACAAACCCAGATAATCGATTCCGACAACTGCCCTGCCCTGCCCGCATATCTCCTCTTCTTTCGTCTCCTCTTAATTCTCAACAGCAACAACACAAACTTTAATTAGCAGCTTCTTGTTGTTGTTGTTCTTG